GGAATGAGATGCCGACTGCTCTGTTTCTGGACCCCAAACCTTCCCCAGTATGGGATGTATACTAACACTGACTCTTTCTACTCACACAGCCTGGCAGCATCTAAAGAAGCTGAAGCAGCAGCACGATCTGCCCCCAAACCCATGTCTCCTTCCGATTTCTTGGATAAGTTGATGGGGCGAACATCAGGATACGATGCCAGGATCAGGCCAAATTTTAAAGGTATGCAAAATCCCCGCTTTTATGGCATTTTGTTTTGGGACTGAAAACTGCATGCAATCCTCATGAATGCCTCCCTAACTGTTCATGAAATATGAACAATCTAAACTTATGTTCATATGAAATATATATGATGAGAGATTTGGCACATGGATACTTTGTAGACATCTGGAAAGTCATTTGATTTCCACTCGGAACGGAAACAACCTTGTAACAGCTTTACATGGAGGAAGCACTTTGATCTCAACACACAGAGGGATCGGGGAACCTGCCAAACCACACAGTGACCTCAACATCAGATTAGGATAAGAACTTCAGCTTTCCTTTCCCCTGAAGTCACAGTCCACAGCACCTAACAGTGGTTAACGCTTCCCCTTACACCAATGAAGCCAAGAGGGGTCTCTCCTGTTGGTTCCAGAGGAATTCAGAGATGTGGGCAGCAGCTCTGACCCACTGCCGTCCCCCGTAGCAGATGGGCTCTCAAGTCAGTGCCCAACACAGCTCCGTCGCAACAGCTCTGTTTCACTCCTGACTTCCTCAGTTCACCCTGTATTTCCCAGCAGCCAAGCAGCATTGAGGCATGCCTTAGAAGAGGCCACAGAACATCTTTATTTCTCAAAACAACTCTAACAACGGTGGGGTATTGGGGATTTCTTGTTTTCTTGTTAACTGATCTCACTTTCCCAGAGCTATTTGCCCTTGACTCACAACCAGAGATAAAATGGGACCTGCCCTACTGTCCAGCCCTCTTAAATGCTCATTTTATTCCCTTTTGTTTCCCACCACTAATCCCTCTGCCTCCAGAGTCACTGGTAATGCTAACATAGAGCTCCCAGGACCCATTAATCATGGTGACAGCACCTGCCATCCAGCTTCAAGCAATGAGCTCTGTTTGGGCTTTTAAACTCAAAGATAGGTGGGAAGCTTATGTCCTAGTAATCAGCTAGGCAACAGAAAACACTGCTGGTTTTATCCAAATCACAAAGAGTTAAATAAAACACGCTGTAAACCTGCCTACCACTAAATTATGCACACACACACAAAAGAAATTAAACTTTAATATTTAA